TATTATATGAATGTATAAGCTTGATTGAATTCAGTATATCATTGCTTAACTCTAGAAAATAATAATATTATTTAATATTATTTTTTTATTTTTAGTACTTTTAATTTTTTTWATTTTTAGTCATTTTAATTTTTAATGTTTTTACATAAAGCAAAACAAAATATATATTAAATCAGATATCATTAGGCTAATGAAATATATAGGTATATATAGGAATGAAAAATTGTTTATATTTTAAATGAGCGTAAATAATTAYAAAATTCTAGACTACATAGATTGTTTTTATTTGACATACATTTTTATTATTGTCGAATATCAAACAAAAACTGGTTAATGTTTTATAATATAATAATAATAAAATTTAAATCGTAAAATATCTGATTTATATAAACATAACGTGAAAAACTAAAAACTAAGTATAATGTACATTCTTAATAATTTAAAAAAAAAAGCAAAAACAAAAACAATGTTCAATTTACAAATAATAATAATAAACATTTAAATAAATTTTAATCTTACAATGAAATTGGCACCAAGTGTTAAAAATAAACAAAATGTCTTAGTCTGACAATAAAATAATGCTTCTATATATATGTTTTATAATAATAATAATAATATAAATATGATAAAAACGATTTTTAGACTTCGCAGTACAATACTGCGGGGAAGAGGACCATACTATATAAGATATTATTATGTATACATAACAAACCTTTGCGTCTTTGGTCAATTTCCTATCGAAAATATAATAAATTAGTGTGGCTATGAAAATGTGTATATACAACAATTTGACCTACTGCGAATTGATTTGGCGTACAGGCAGTAGGTGCCTACATATTACTTTAATAAAAAAATTAAAAAAGGAAACTGAACTAATCAAGTGATTTAAATAATTGTATATACAAAAACAGATTTTGGTTTGAATAAATTATCATCGAGATACCTACCTAAATATACATAAATATGTGACTCAGACATGTGCATATGGATATATATTATACAGTATACACAATATTTATAATATTAAATATGTTGACCTAGCGTCATCGTGTGTTGTATACGCATATGATATAATAAAATATAAAATATCACCAAACTTTGTATATCAATTCGTCTACACGAAAAATAATTAATGGGTTTTAAAAAAACAAAATAAAAAATAACGATTTCCATACGGACAAATCTCGTTTTATACAACGMTAACAGATTCCTGGAAAACTGAACGGAAATTATGGGGCGCTGAGAACACGTCCCGAAGCGATAGTATCGAGCAAAACTCGTTGACATGCGACACAGTTTACAAGAAATCCGTTATGAACACTCGTTTCAGGTCGGGCACACTACCGCCGTGGTGTCCCCGGCCACCACCGCCAAGCCGTCTGCCAGCAATGCCGCCGAAGCCGCCGCGATGTCTGCCACCGTGATGGTGGTGCACCTGTTGTTGATGGTGAAGCTGCTGCTGCTTATGGTGATGCTGTTGCAACAGCTGAGCGGCATTCGGATATCCCGTGGCGTTGGCAGCGGCATCCGCAGCCGCCTGTGCAGCGACCAGTGAGTCGACCGACAGGACAGGCGTAAGACGGGCCTTAGGCCTTCGCGGCGTCGGCGGAGTTGGTGGCAGAGCTGGTGCTGCGGCGCGCACTTGGATTCTGTGGTGATATTGTGAAGACTGCGGGTGCTGGTGATGCCGATGGTGCAGGTGGTGCTGTGGCTGAGGCTGGTGGTGCCTGGCTCGTCTAGTGGGCGCTCGCTGGTACGGAACTCGACCGCCGACGGGTGACCGGTCGGCCACGGGCGGTGTGACGTTTTCACCGCTGCCTCCGCCGCCGCCGCCGCCGCCTGATCGGTCGACGGACGCCGCGAAATACTCGAAATCATCGTTGGCCGCYGTCGTGGCCGAGCACACGCTCCGGGCGGACAACGTGGCGTACCCGCCCTCGTCGTCGCAATCGTCGCAATCGTCCCGTCTGTCACACCCGTCATCCGAAGAATCGTCCTCATCGTCGGCCGTCGTTTCTTCGGTCGCTATTTCCTCGGGCCTGTCCGCCCGACGTCCTTCGCCGTCCACGGCTGCGTTCCGGCCACTGTCACTGCCGCAACAACTTGCGCCGTCGTCGTCATCGTYGTCATCTTGGGCGTACAACTTTTCGCGGAGCTGTTGCAAGTTTTGTGGCAATCGGTTGTCCGTCGCTCGAACGCCACCGACTACGGCCGCGATACCTGACACAATCGTCTGGTCGTCCAGGCTGTCGGCTGGCGTCGAGTCGTCCATCACGGTTTTGCAGTCGTCCGCGGTCGTCGGTGACATGGCCGCTGACGCGGTCACCATGTTGGCGAACCGCAGTGACCGGTGATGGAGCTGCTGCTGTTGTAGTTGTTGTTGTTGTTGCTGATGGTGATGTTCGTCTTCACAACAGTGGCCGACCGCTGGATCGGTTGCCGAGTGTATAAAGTGCGGAGGTGGTGGTGAAGACAGCAGGCCACTCATCGTCCTAACGCCTGAAAAACCACAAGACAGCAATGTTAATATTGCATATAGATCGCACAAAACTGACATTATGATTTATAATTCAACTGTTATTTTCTTTGAATTATCCAAGAAAAATACCTATTTTCTAAAAATATTCAAACTTACTAATTTAAAATTTTTTAGAGTTACATTGTTTTTTGAAATTATTTAATTAATATATTATGTATCTATTATTTTGTCCTTTGACACTACTCCAGCTAATCAACTTTGTTTCCGTCAAAAATCCAATTTATTCAAACCAATTTCCATTTTGTCTGTATTCTGTATCAATATACTCACACAATACTCACGTTATAGACATGACCTAGCCGATTCTCTTTCATTTGTTTTTAAAATTGTTTTGTGTGTATACACTATACATATATATATTATTTGTTTCACTACTTATGTATATGTTCTTAATCTTAAGCGATTCTAATTAAAAAGCTATTAAATAACTATCAGATTAATGGATATGAATATAAAGGAAGAACAATAATTTCTCCGTTGTCTAGGCTGAATTATGTATTCGCTTTTATATCACTACCTACGTAATGTTTACGATAGGTAGTATTGTAATTGTGTATCGTAGGTTAGGTTGTAGGTACTTAACAATAACACGGAAAACGTTCAATTTCGTGGTAGGTACTGCGGTATACTGTAGTTGATGTCGACCATACGTTTATAACGAGAAGAAAGGAACAAATAACGAAACCCCAAACGGCATTAGACCATGCAGGGAAAATCGTAAAAAATAAAAATGTTTAATAATAATATTATTTAATATTTACTACCTACAAAGTTTGTCACAGACATTGGCATTTTTATGCTCTGAGCAGGTGATAAAAATGTGTTTTTTAGCGTTTGTTGTCAAATATGTGCACACGTTACACATTTTATACATAATATTAGTGCATTCATAAGAAAATATATATATCATATAAGATATAAAATATGTATTTTACAGAATATGGATGCTTTTATTGTTGAGCGGTGAATCGTTTGGTTCACATCGGCGCAGTGCAGTGACGTATTATTATTTGTAATTACAATAATAATTAATATTTAGTATACGGAGGTATTATATTTGAAAAATAATCCTCAGTGTAGTAGTCCGCGAATAAAGAACAGCCAAGGTTTAACCTTAAGTCAGTTATTGTGCCTGACGACGTTTCTCGACCTTTCTCCCGTGTGATTTTTCTCCAAACTAATCAGAAAATTTAAAAACGACCTATTTCAAGTAAGGTAGATAGGTATAGATAAAATGAATAATTGAATTTTYAATTGACTTCTGCGAATTCCAGGTCGGAAAAATTTTTACTGAGTAAAATATTAGAGTAAGGTTCACATCATTGTTAGCCGATATAGATTTTCTCGGAAATCCGAATAAACAATTTAAAGCTAAGACTCCATTTTTTTAAACAATATAAACATCAAAATATAATATTTCGTTACGCGTGCGCTTTCTCGTTTTTTACTGTGCATTGTATATACTCATCTAAAAAAATATAATTTATTTTTTACAAAGTGTGTCATTGGATATTATACATGAAACCATTTATTACCAGCACACGATTTTTAGCCCTGTGACCCGTATTATACAATTTTATAATTTTATAATTTCTACATAATAGGTAATAAGTTATAACTAATAATACTAACAGGTATACGCCAACCTCTAATAATCGGCAATAAAATAAATACTCGAACGCGTATTATCATTATTATTATATTGTTCGATTACGGTGCACGGTCAAACGTCAACGCCGCCGTGATCATAATAATAATAATGTACTTTTATATTATATATATATGAAGAAAAAAACGCGGCTATGCAATATAAGTATGTATATAATAATTATATTTTCTGGACGTCGTGTTACACGCTTGGCGCCRACCGGGAATTGCATTGGACACGAACAAAATTTAATAAATATTCCAATGGCCCTCAATGTGCCTAAATCACGTCGCTATTCATTCGTTCTTCGGATATTTTTTCCCCATATTTTATGTTATATTGTACAATCACTAGAAGCCTATTGTTTGTATATTACTGTAATACGATATAATAATACATTATAACTAGGTATGTATATATATATATATATACATATATTTATAATTATATATATATATATATATATCAGAGTATTTGGTACGTATTCACCACGAAGGACGTGCTAATTACGCGCACTATATATTTTGTAGTTACCTATCAAAAATATAAAATAATATTATATTTAATAAAAAAAAAATATAGGTCTGTTGTTACATATATACTATAATATATATTTTTTATAGTTTAGTGTATTTTATGTAGGTGTGTATATATATATACATACTATCTGTTATGTATCACGGTATAAAGACGAGATGATTTTTATTGTCTACAATCAAAGTTCAGCCGACAAGTCTTCCGTGACCACTAGTAGGTAATGATAAAATAACTGTATTCATGTTATTACTTGTGCGTTTTATATGATATCGTACTACTTAAGTAGTGCAACTTTCGACTAATATTACATTCAGCGAGTCATTCGAGAAAATAATTATATAATCGATGACATTTAAAAACGAATTTCACGCCAATTTACTCCGGAGTGGTCTTACGTACGCGGAGACCTGATACCTATAATACATGTATAGTACATAAGTGTGGTAATTACCTACACTCGGTGCCGCGTTAGTGAAAAATTAAGCACCTACAACATGTTACGAACTCATATCGTCGTTGTTTTTGTATTAGGTACTATATGGAGRAAAAAACATCATAATGCAAATATTATATTCTTCTACGTGTGTGTGCGGGTCGATCTTGTTGATTTTTGACACGGTGGCGGTGTATATTTGCTTTGTATTTCGATAGHGATTATAGGATGAGCTAATAAAGAAACAAACCGATGAAATTCCAAAACAAAAAAYAGAAGAATTATTATTATCGATTGTACACGACACTCGGGTAGTCGGATAAGTTGGTTAGTTATTAATAAGTGACTCATGTCGTAAAATCACTACCTAGATAATCATAATATACAATGAATTGTTAATAAAATATTATTATTATTGTACACCAACAACGGGAAAACTGCAGTTCGCGTGTATGTAGTAACGCCGTGTCGACGCATCTCACACAATGCCATTRATTGCCAATCATAACGATTGTGTGAATGTTTAACTTTGATTGGAGTTAAAATATTTAAACTTTAAACTTTATCCAACGTATAATGTATAACGACTGAATACCGAAGAGACGTTAATGGTATACGAATCGAAGACCCGAACACGCGAACCGTAACAAATAGCAAACACGGTGTTTTATTAATCAGCATACATATTTACGTACGAACATAATGATATAAACAAGTACGCGATATAGGTACAAAATAATAATATTATCATAACGCAATATATATACACGCGGAATTCGAAACGCGTCGCATCGCCGAGGACCTGAACAGAATAACGCACAACGGTATATCATTATAGGTACGCAAACATATTATAATATAATATTTATATGTGCACTCGTAAGTCGCATTATATTATATTTTTATAACGAGTGGGCCTACACAGACATACCCGTACGACTGTTGTACAACGCACGCTGTGATTCGCGTGTAGAATTTTCGGTTTTACGCGACCGTGCGGCACATTTTTTGTTTTTTGTTTCGACGACACGACCGCATTAAAACATTATTTTGTTGGATATATTATCGCGGTGAGGTTGGTATATAGGTATTATATGATATGAGTACCATCTATTTATAATACTTGTGGCGACGTTCGTGTATACTATATTATGTGTATCATCGTGTCTCGCGTTGTTAATATTTACCACAACGACGGCGGCGATGATGATCATCATCGTGATGACGATGACGAAATTAATGATAACACGTGAAAGAAAATATTTACAGTTACCTACAACAACATACGACTATGTGACGAATATCAAATATTTGYATAGTGTAATACACGTTCGTATATAGGGCCCAAAGACGTGAAAACCGCATGCAGGTCGAGGAAATTATTTAAATAGCTACACTATAGTATTTCAAGTAAATTTTTGATTTTTTCGATGAAATATTGATATG